AGAAGCGGTGTCTGTTTTTTTTTTCCGTGCAGATAAATTGTGTGTTTGTTGCAATACTAGATCATGCAAACTCCAATATCCTGACCATATTGTCCCCATTTATTTCTTTTATCTCTCTGTTTAATATAATAGGGATAGCGGCTGAAGCAGGGAAACATATGCAGCAGCATAATAGTATATTGTTTGAAAGCAGTTGTCTTCCATTTCCAGAGTTTCCCTTTGAAATGTAATTGTCTGCTAATATAACTGGGAAATATTATTGCAGGGGGTGATCACTAAAGCGTAGACTTGTGCTTTTAACTCTCACTATGTCTGCAGAGTGTTTTTAAAAGGGACTGGGTGCAACCTTAGGCAGTTAAATCTCCTTCGTGAGCTGTGTTTGCAGGAGTTGTGAGAGGCGTCTTGTCACCCAACGTGGAAACAACTCCACGCGGTGCCAAAACAAGAAACGCCGTGTCCCATGTGTAATGCAGCAACAGCAGAATTACAATTGCCTTGTGTAAAGTAGCTGGTAATGAAGGCAGATAATGGAATTCTTTGCAAAAGCAGATGCTAACTGGCTCCCCGATGCTAGGCAGAGGACTGAAAAGTGATACCAGCTGGAGGGGAGAAAAAAAAAACCAGCTGAAAAAGGCATTAAAAAGAAGATGCCTTAGATGCACGTTTGTTTAAGCAGTAAATACTTGTTTAAAATAATCTTACGAGATTCTTATTAAGAGGCAAACTGAGAATAGGATTACGACGTTATAGGAAGTCAGCTGGATGCCCAAAGGATATTTGTATGCAGATTGGATGAGTGAGGCAACGACACCGCTGGGAATGGCGCGGTACCATTTACACTGGGAGGCTGGCTGGTGAGGACAGCCCTTGGAAGTGTTTAATTGCGGGAGGTGGGGCTTGGGAGAGCCAGAACCTTCTGCTGTTCAGGGAGGAGATGGCATTGATTTTTAAAAAGCAGGGGTGTCTCTGCTTTGTCCCTACGTGCATGAATGTGCACGCACACGCTTGCGTCTTCTCCGGTAACAGGGACCTCCTGATGGGCTGGAGGCAGTGCTGGGCACACAGCATCAGCCTTGTTCCTTCTTCTGGTGGGTTGACCCTGGCTGGATGCCCAGTGCCCACCAAAGCCACTCTGTCACATCCCCTCCTCAGCTGGGCAGGGGAGAGAAAAATCTAAGGAAAGGCTTGTGGGCTGAGATAAGGACAGGCAGAGATGGCTCGCCAATTACCATCACAGGCAGAACAGACTCGACGCTGAGCAAATGTAATTTATTACTAATCGAATCAGAGTAGGGTAATGAGAACTAAAACCAAATTTTAAAACACCTTCCCTCCACCCCTCCCTTCTTCCCAGTTTTAACTTTACTCCCAGTTTTCTCTCCCTCCTCCCCTCGGTTGGTGCAAGGAGATAGGAAAAGGGAGTTGCGGTCAGTTTATCACACCCTGTCTCTGCCTCCCCTTCCTCCCCAGGGGGAGGACTCCTCACACCCCTGCCCTGCTCCAGCCTGGGGTCCCTCCCATGGAGACCCTCCTCCATGGACTGTTCCTATGTGAGTCCTTCCCATGGGCTGCAGCTCTTCACCAGCTGCTCCAGTGTGGGTCCCCCGTGGGGTCACGAGTCCTGCCAGGAGCCTGCTCCAGTGTGGGCTTCCCAGAGGGTCATAGCCTTCTTTGAGCATCCACCTGCTCTGGTGTGGGGTCCTCCATAGGCTGCAGGTGGATATATGCCCCACTGTGGACCTCCATGGGCTGCAGGGGGACAGCCTTCTTCACCATGGTCTTCATCGCGGGCTGCAGGGGAGTCTCTTCTCTGGTGCCCAGAGCACCTCCTCCCTCTCCTCCTTCCCGACCTTGGTGTCTGCAGAGCTGTTGCTCTCACATATTCTCACTCCTCTCTCTGGCTGTAATTGCACAGGGGTTTTTTCCCCTCTTAAATACACTGTCACAGAGGCTCTGTCACTGCTGGACTCAGCCTTGGCCAGCAGCGGGTCTGTCTTGCAGCTGGTTTCCTTTTGGTGTAAGTATGGATTTTTTCAAGGACAGACATATGGTGGGGAAAGCCCTTAAAAAAAAAAAACCCCAAAACCTCTTAACAAGTAAAACAACTTGGTGACCGCTGGAGTTGGTCTGCGTTTTTTTGCCCAGATAAATTTTTCTTTACCCAAAGAATTGTTCCCACAGTGGGGGATTACTGGTGCAGCTGGAATGCTGAACTGGGCAGCAGCTCAGCAGGATTCCAGTCCAGACCAGGCAGATCAGAAACTTTAGTGGGGCTCTGTCTCATCCCAGGCAATTAATTTTTGGAGGACTAATACTTACTTTTAGTTTCAGCGCAGCAGGGAACGGGGATATATACGCACTTCTGAACAGCTAACGTTTTTCCCATGTGAGAAAGCTCATTTTGGGCTTCTCCAGCAGGAGGAAACACTGCAGAATTTAGAGACTTATGATACTGATGGTCTCAGAAGGCACTTGCCTGCAGATAGAGGCTGGAGCCATGTGTCCATGTGCATGGTGTTGCAGAGGAGCTCCTCCATTAGACTCCTGTTAGGGAATTTCAGGGAGTTTTACTGACAAGGAAGAGATGAGTTTTGAAGCAGTCTCTGGAGATGTGCAGCTTCATCTATATGACATTAAGCGTGTGTATTCGTCTCACCCCTTCATCTTTTTTCTGTGCTTCCGAGTACTCATTGCTAAAAACATGCTTGTAGACACGTGCTTTGCTCCTGGTAAATGTGAGATGTGTTTTCCATGTAAAAAAAGCAGTGGAAGGAACTGTGGCAGAGCAATGAGCAGTCAACAGCATCCGTCCAGAGCACTGATGCTTTGCTTTGCCCACCAAAGTGCAGTCACTAAGAAATCCCTTTTCTGCTGCTGACCTGTTCTTAATATTCTTACTGCTGCAGCTACTTGCTTGCTCCATAATGAGTTGTTTGTCTAATTGTGGTGGGCAGAAAATGTCATAGTCCTCTTTGTGTCTGGACGTGGCTTAATGGGAAAAGAAGGTTAAACCTCAGCAGTGTGAATAAACCACGTGTGGCTGCAATATGTGCTTCGATCTGCTGTACTTTCAGAAGCACCTTTTTTGAGACCTCTCTTCGCTCCCTTTTTTTTGGCAGGAGGTATCCTGCACACTAAGCAGGAAAAAAAAATCACCTTCTAAATTCAAGTAGCAAATCACACCTCTAATTACATTTTGACCCCATTAGTTAAGAAGTATATTAAAGAACTGCTCGGCTACATGGATTATCGTTTAATGCAGTTATATGAGTTTTTGGCATATAATTGATAGTAACAAGTGAGGTTTCTAATTTTTTATGATATTCTGATTTTGTGCAGACCTCTGGAGGGCTTTACAGATTTCCAGGGATAACATTTCACCCTTAATATACCCCACTGGGATTTTAGGCTCAGGCTGCAGGCTACTGAGGATTTTAAGTGAGGCAGGAAAATGCCAGTCTGTACATACAGTGATGGGGGAGCTGGTTCTTGTCTGCGTTGCTTTGAGTTTAGATGATGCTCTTGGGTGCATCTGGGGTTGGAGATGGGAGACTGCTCTCTGCTGGTCTCTGCTGAAGCAGAAGGGGCTGCTGAAGCTGACGGAGGACCCTGGGAGAGGAGAGACACTGAGCTGGACCCAGGTTTGGCTAAATCACCCTGGCAGCCTGTGCAGGGATGGTGGAAGGAACACCTCTACTTCATCCTCTCTCTTCTCAGCAGTTTTTATTCAGTTTTACTTGCTTCCCTCTCACCTTCCCCAGCTCTTTCCCCTCTTCCTTGTTGTCATGGGAACATTCACTACAGTGGTTAAATCATACTATTAAAATGTGCTTCCCCAGTAGAATGGTAATAGCTAATATTGATCTAGCGACTGCTGCTGACTCAGGGATATAGTTGAACACGTAATATCTCTTATTTCTCTCCTTAATGCATAATGCAGCAGTTTCTTTCACCTTGGACTCTGTACACAGAGGGGTGACATCCAGCCACAACAAAATACTTTGATTTGCTTTTTTTAATGTGTGGCCCCGCTGAAGTGTTGGATGCAGGTGGTATTATGAAGCTGGCTTTAAAATCTGCAAAAGGACAATCAGACAGGAAAAAAAAAAATCACCGGGGCTGTGATTGACCCTCGCAACTGATAGTTCTAGATATTTGTATGCCAGCGATGAAAAGACATTCAGATTAAACTGTCAGCATCCACAGCCACGCAGTGTGCTCCAAATAACTTTGCGAGTATATTGCCCTCTGTCACAGAAATGGTTGAAACGTAGATGAAAGACAAATAACTGCCTTAAACCCAAGTGAGGCTGCATTTAAAAATGTAATCAATCATAGACATTGTCACTGACATCTGCTTTGAGTAATCAGCTGCACGGTAGCACATAATGTTAAGCAGAGCATGGTGAGCATATTCCTGAGTCACCAGAAAGAAGGAAAAGGGAGAGATTCTACCCTGAGATGGGAGTTTGCAGTGTGTTTGCGCCGTAAGCATTTCGGTTTCCCACCGTGGTTAATTAACCAGCTCTAACTTTATGAGAGTTTCCTGAAATTGATAGGGTTTGTAAGGTAAGATTGGGGTGCCTCTGGAATTCCCTTGTTTACCCGCCTTTCAAAAATCTTTTGGTTTAGAACCAGCCCGTTGTACAAATAATTAAAATAGGTTTTAATCTGAATATTATTTGCAGCTGATGCTGCGTTTTGCTGTGCGGGTGATACAGGCACAGAAACTGGTATTTTAGAGCCTGTGCTGGAAAGACCTTTAGTTTAGTGATGATGTTCCTTGTTTGTTGTGTGGGTGTCTATTTTTGTCAGTTAGGTTGATGGTTGGACAAGATGATCTTTAAGGTCCCTTCCAACCTAGAAGATTCTGTGATTCTGTGACCTCTGTTAACCAAGACTAAATGCTGAGAAGCCCTCAATTTCTAGCATATTTGTGTGTGTTCTTGAACATGTGCATTATTTGATGTTATAACTCATTTTATGTTTGATCTCTCTAGAAAAAATCAGGCAAAGGTATGCGGATCTGCCAGGAGAGTTGCACATTATCGAGCTGGAGAAAGACAAAAATGGGCTCGGGCTGAGTCTTGCTGGCAACAAGGACCGCTCTCGGATGAGCATCTTTGTAGTTGGTATCAATCCAGATGGACCTGCAGGCCGGGATGGAAGGATGCATATTGGAGATGAGCTTCTCGAGGTAAGTGTTTCCTTTAACTATGAAGTAGGGTTCATGTGGAGAGAGGGAGAGGCATATGTGAAGCTATCCTTTGAACCTTAAATAAAGCCTGCGAATGGAATTAGGTGGCTGAGGCAAGGAGCTGCACTGATTTATGCCAACTGAGAACTTGGCCTTTGGCAGGTAAATGTGTTTTCAGTGAAACAAAAATCATTGGCCTGTGAAAACTAATGTCTTGTCGGTGAAGTCTGTGCTCTCAGCATGTTCACGAGCTCTGCTTAGGGAGGGACTGTTGAAAGGCAGGAAGGGGACAGTAAATCTATCCTTGTAGTACATATGTGGTTTCACAGGGAAATTCACACCTTACATTAAAAAAAACAAAACCCCCTCAAAGTTGCCATATGTGTTTTTACAGATGACAGGGATATTCCCCATCCTGAAAATAAATTTCGTGCTGTAATCTGTTTATCTGTTGTAACTTAAAATACTTATTTTCTTTAGTCGTGTCTGGCACGGGTTCACCCTTAAGGCAAGAGAGCTCATTAGCAAGTGGAGTATTTTGTCTTCACTTTTTCTCCTATCTCCTTGTTTCACCTTCAGATTGAAAACGCAGCTCTTTCTACATTTCTCTGATTTTTGGCTGTTGCAAAATGACACTTTGCTGCAGAATCTGCAGCGGTTCCCCATGTCATGATTGCTTCAGCAGTTTAAAAAAATCAGCCCTCCCTGGGGATCTTTCCTTTCGAGACAAGTTTTCACTGAAGAGCAGGTATATGCTGACCTACTGCTCTCCATGGGTGGTGGTTTTTTGATCTTTCAGTAACTCTGTGCCATCAGAGAATCACCTATTTTCTCGTTTCTTGACTTGAGAAAGAGCAAATTTGACTGCCTGGGGATACCTTGGGAGTACTGAGAATTGTCTAAGCATTTGTCATTGTCTAACAGTTCTGTAATTATGGGTTTTCAATACACATAGTACGAGAAAGACTTGTTTTGCTGTAATAATAAAAAGAAAGTAATAAACTCTGGATGGTTTTAAGTATGATAAATGGCATAGAGGTCTATATTATACTGGAGAAGTGTAGGAAAATTACTTTCTCCTTCAAATTTATATTCTTTTCTGTGCCTGGCTCCAAATTCTTATGATAAAACTATCATAGACCAGGTAGTTCCTGGTAGAGGAACTACCTGGTCTATGATAGTTTTATCATAAGAATTTGGAGCTTTCCCACAAAGAAGGATGGACAGAAGTTTTCCTATATCACAAGTTATTCCTTGCAGTGTTTGTTTGAGCTAATGTTAAGTATTGCCTGAAAGTATTGGTACTTTAAAGATGCATCATCTGTGGTTAATCACATGCATCTCAAGGTTGGGATTTGCATGCATGAACCATGTTATAAGTAGCGTTTTCCAAAGTGGTGGTGTTGCTGTAATTCCTCTCCCTGTCGAGTTGAAGATAAAATGATTTATTTTTTTTTCTTCAATGGAAGGAAAGTGATGTTCACCATCTCAAAAATGCCAAACTTCAAATAAACTGAAGTTCAAAGCGACTTTAGTAACTACCTCTCTTGTTTACCTTTGCAATCAAATTAAAGGGGTGGGCAGAAGTGTGGTTACTTGTATGAAAGGATGTGGTGATCTCATTTTGGTCCCCAGTGAGTACGTAACCAGTGTCAAAACATCCTGTGTTACAAAGGAATGGATTGTGCATTACTTGTGTACAGACGTCTGGTGTTCACACCAGTGCTCAATTATTCACAGCTCTGGTTTTTTGTCTTTTGAAAGCATTTTGGTGTTATGCAAATAGCAGTGAAATGGAACTAATGGGCATTTACATGGGCAGGTTTTTTTCAATAACCATTAGATTCAATAACTAGGTTATTTCAGTAACCATTAGGAGTCCTCATACCCAAGAAGTGTATATGGGTCACCAAGGTAGGAATATCACAGAATGCTTGGGCCTGGAACGGACCTCCAGAGGTCATCTGGTGCCCCCTCCCTTGCTCAAGCAGGGCTACCTCGAGCCAGTTGCCCAGGACTGCATCCAGATGGCTTTTGAATATCTCCAGTATGATTTCATGCTACTTCCATGCCAGTGATGGAGAGGTCAAGGGTGTCAACTGACTTTACTTGCAGTATCTTTTATGATAAGGTACATTAAAAAAGCATTAATGGCAAACTCAAGTGTTCAAAAGTGAGGAAACTACAGAGTCCAGATTTTAACTGGAGAAAAGCAAACAGACATACAATTAAAGATTGTGTGGTTATTGGTCAAAAAAGCATTTTATCTCTCCCATGGTGTCCTTTCCTCATTCAGACACCCGGATGGATGATCTTTACTGATGAAACAACTTCTTTTCCTTTGGGTGGTGCTTCACTGCATGTGACTATTAAATTGCTCTGCCTCTGGTCTGAGCTGATGGCCATTGCCCATATTTAGTTATTCTGTAAAAAAAAAAAACTGTTGGACTTTGCAGCCCCTTCATTTGTAAGCATTTGTGGTCACTTTCCCCAGTATTCTCATCTGTTCATCAGCAAGTAGACCACACTCAACCCTCATCTAACTGCATGTTTTAAGTATATTTGCATCTCCATCTTTGATTACACATCAATTTTGAATATTGGAGCGTATCAGCAAGAGAAGGGGTTCACATCTTAGGGAGCCTCTGGCATTTCTGCACTGTCCTGAGGTGCCCCAGGAATCCCATTGGTTAGTTGTTGCTCCATTAAAACTGTGGATGCTACTGCAGTGTGGGCAGGTTATTCACCGTGGCTGTTGATGAAGATAAGGTTAATGGGGTGGAGAGAAATGTATAGATAAAGATAGTAGACATTACCTCCTCATTTTTCTTTTGAACTGGAGTTTGATTGGATTCAATTGAAGGATGTGGGATGCTGCCAGACTGCCTCAACTCCTTGTTCATGAAATCTTTTGTCGGTAAATTAATGAAATATCATCCCGCTTCTAGCTTCTGCAAAGCTTTTTTGGGGGATGGTCCTGGCTTGCTTTGAAAGTCGATCCAGCCTATACATTGAGTGAAATGCAGGTCACATAAAAAAAATTGTATGTAATCATTATTTTTTTAAATATATCTCCTGTGATGTATTTTGGATGGGTATGTTGCTGGAGAAAACAACTTTTTGAGGGAAAAGATCCTTTCATCCTACTTTCATACATGGAAGAAAATTACTTGGGTCAGAACTTGGTTCCTGTGCGAAAGCGTATATTTTTTACATGACACAAGTTCTTCTTTTTCATTCTTTTTTCCCAGCAAAGAAACCATCTGTGGTGCTCCTGCCTGGTGCTCGTGCTGCTTTAGTGCAGGTGTCTGCGCTGCTTGGTATCTTATTAGTTTGGGCTTAGTCCCGTGGCTGATTGTGCCCAGCATGGTCCTCGGCGCGCTCACGTGGAGCTGTACCTGGGCTGTTAAACCCCGCTGCTCCTGAGCTCTGCGTGGCTCTGGCCTTCTGGGAGGTTTTATTCACACTGAATAATCCACCCTGTCATTATTATTATTATTATCATCTCTCCATAAGAGAGTCGACTGCATTCTATTAATAAACCGAGCTGCACAGAGCCCTGTTATGCTAAATTACTGATGCTGGGATTTTCTGCCATCTTCCTGTCCCTGCTTGTCTGGCTGAAAATGGGGCAGGAGGTGGAAGGAAGCTGTTTGTTTGGAGGTGTTGCTCTAGGATGCCACAGAGAGAGTGACAGCTAGTCTTTGTAGTCCAGAACCAACAGGTTTACTTGTTGTCCCTTCTGGACTGCTGCATGACAAGCAATTTTTCTTCCTTTTTCTTTTTCTATGCCATTTCTGTCACACCTCAAAGCCAGAGGGCTTTTGTGTTACGTGTATTTCTATTGTGATTTTACATCAAGAGTCTTAGACAAATATATTATGCCACAATAATACCATAGATACCTCAGTATTTTGCCCAAGTAAATGAACTACTCAGCCAAATTCACAATGCTGCTTCTGCTTTAGAATGTGGGGACTGGTGTTTTATTCTCAATTTAGTTGTTGTGGGATTGTTTTTTGGTTTTTTTTTCCTATTTCAAGACAGTTACTTTGGATTAGGCAAGTGGAGGGACAGTAACTTTAACATAGAGAGATAAGTGTATAAATCTCTACATATCATAAAAGCATGGCATCACAGAATGGTTCAATTTGGAAGGGACCTTAAAGACCATCGAGTTCCAACTTCCCTGCCATGGGCAGGGACACCTCCCACTAGACCAGGTTTCAGTCTATATAATTTGACCGGTCAAAAAGTTTTTCAAACTTTTCCCACTGTTTCAGAGAGTCTGGTTGTATCCTGAAATGCCACAATTCCTGTGGTTAGAAGGAACCTAATGCATTGCTAAAAAGAAATAATTATTATAGAAAGCTCTGCCAGTTCTTTTATGGGCTTTGGGGTATCATTTAACTTGATTTTCATAAAAATCAGATGATACTAATTTTATGGATTTCCATTACTGCCACATAGTAAAAACAGTGCTCTTTTTTTTAATATCCATATCTAATGTTTCTCTTCTGCAAATTAAAGTTGAGAAGCAAAAAACCCTTTAAATTTTTTTCTCCTAATTTAAGAGTTCGGATTTCAGTGAGTTTGTACTTTTTGCTACTTTCGTGTATGAAGCTGTAAAACAAAACCTTTGTAGGTGAAGGCAACAGGACATTTGGGATATGTGATAAAATCTGCCATAAAGCAGTGTAGGGTTGTATTAAAGATTGAATTTGAGTGTGCTGACCTGACCTCTTACCTGTAGCGCGTTTTAATCTTGCTCTCTTCTCTCTGGTTTTTCCAAGAAGTTATGTAAAGAGACATTTAAAGAAGAGTTGAGTTTGATTGAGATCAGTTTATTTCTTTTGCTTAGTCAAGGCTTTGTTTTTCTTTTCTAATTGCTAATGAAAAAAGTAAAGCACAGATTTATAGATTTTGACTCCCAGAGTACTACTTGGTTAGTCTGACGTGTTACTTTATTTCATTTGAAAGATTTAAAGTGGTGTTGCTTATGAAATCCTAGGATGTTATCTTTTTTGTTTTATTTAAGTAGGCTTTTGTGCTTTCCTTATGACTGTGGTATATGAACATTAATTTACTTTGCAAAAGAAAGTGACCTTTTTTTAAAAATAAAAAAATTACACTGACAGTAATAACTGTGTGGGACAGGCCAAAAACCTCATGGAGATATATTAGTTTGATTATCCTTTCATTTTGGTGTAATTAAAGAATTATAACTTACAGACCCAGCACGCAGCTAATTAAATTTTGGACTATTTGATACATCTAGTGAATAGGATTAATTTTGCCCAGAGTAAAGACTATAAATTTTAATCTAAGAAGTCTGCTGTTTAGAAAAAATGATGGTAATTTAAATAAATTTAAACAATTTGTAAGGCATACGGTGTGCCCAGTGACTGATTTATTTTTGAGCTTGGAGAAATTAAGTCAACAAACTTGCTGAAAGTTTCACGTCCAGCTTGAAGCCAGAGCGCAACTGAGTGTTTATTTTTGCCGTCGGATTTTTAAATTTGCCTTTAATTAACAAAGTGTGGTCTGGGATGTTGCTTCTCAGCCTGTTTTTGCAACCGTGGCAGTTGCAGGCAGCACCATCTGAAACCCTTAGGAATGTTATTGTGATGCTGTTTCCTTCGCGCTGATCGTTTCTGACTCTTGTAGACCTTCCTTGGGTCTCTCTTTGTCCAGTGAGCAACTGGGTAGCTAAATGGTTTGCACCATTAATAAATGATCAAGTGTTAAGGGGTTTTATTCTAGTCTTTGCATTGTCCTTATTTAACTGATGAACTCAGAGAAGTTGGGAAAGTAAGATGGGAATATTGTGAAGTTGCCAATAGGACCAATTACCCTGTATGACACAAGGCTGTAAGGCTTGGCCAGTTAATCTTGTTTGAATGAAAAAAAATCTTCTAAGAACACAAAACTGAAATCCAGTACAAACATTTTCAGTAACAAAAAGTCCTTCTGTAATCTTCAGTGAATTGTTCCTGGGCTCCATTATCATTATTGTTTTAAACAGCATCGCTATATCAAATGTGAATGTAAATATTTTGTTGTAAATGAGTAGTGGAAGGGAAAAATTGCAGTATTGAAACAAAGCTGGCTGCTTGCTTTGGAAGGGTGTATGAATGCTCCAGCTCCAGAGAGGTGCATTAATCTAATCAAGATGCTTAGAGTGAGAATTTTGACAGAGTTAAATAGCAGATTATTCTGCACGCTTGGAAGCCTCTGGTGCTTGCTTAGAAGGCAAGGCACAGGATGAGCTGAACCGTGAACCTGAACTACCAACATGACTTCAATTACTATTCATTTCAGTTTCTTTCTCTTCATCTTTAAAGTTTTCCCTCTTTCTTGGACAAAAGAAAAGATGTTAAATGTAGCTTTTGAATTAGTTTCCACGTTCATGTTCATTTTCACAGGCATTCAGGTGTAGGTAAAGAATTCTTCTTCCTCAGAATGCAGTTATCTCAATGTTTATTCCAGTCTGGATTGTCGAAGCTGAAGGAAGGCAGCTCTGGGAGTCCTGCTCCCCATGGTCAGGGGAGGATGCTTTCCTTCACCTCCGCACTGGGTGTTCACTTCAGCGTAGTTTTAAATCTGAAAATCGTCAGGGTGCAGCTAAGAGACTGCTCAGGGGTTTTGTTAATCTCCTTGACATAGTCTTTTTTTTTTCCCCCCATCATACTCAGCTCAGCTTTTACTTTAAATTTAATGCGGTATTCATATCTACCTTATGTTCTGCATATGGTCTTTATGATTGTAGTTAGTGCAATGCCTGAGCTGAAAGTCGAGCATCCTCTCAGGATACCTCAGAGGGAGGAGGCATCAACAAAGGGAAGCTGAAGCCCAAGAAACTCAGGGCATCTCAGGCAGGCTGAGGGGGAGCAAGGTGTTAAACACAAGCCCCAGCTGTGAAATGAATGAAACACTTTAAATATTCCATTTTTACACTTCAGGTTATTTTTTGTGGTATGATAATGAATATGCTTTAGGTTGGCTCATGAGTAACTACTATATTCATCTCAGAGCTGCTGCTGTCCTTGTTGAGGTTCCACTTGCTAAGAGTGGGAAAATAAGACAGTGAGCATGTTATTTTCCTCAAGATGGGAAAAGACTTCTAGTTCCTACAGAAAGGAAAGTCCTGAAGCACATCCTGTATTAAAACCAATTATTTCCCTCTGAAAACTGCATTTTCTTGTACGCAGCAAAAGTGTCCAAAGTAGTACTTGGTGTCTCCTGCTGTGCTTAGGTGTTTGATCCATCATGGCAAAAGTGATGGGGCAGGTCCTTAAATTGTCAGAAGAATTAAATTGTCAGCAGAACTGAGGAGTCAGCACAATTGTAAGAGCAAGTTTTCCTAAACTGTCAGTTGCCTGTAGGTAAGGTATAGGAGTGTCTGTCTCAAAATCTGTGCTCTTGTCATATCCATGTGATTCTTCTCAGATCAAGTTGTTTTCCAAGAATTTGGGAACAAAACTTAAAATCCATTCTGTGGATCTGTGAAAAAGAGTAAAAGAATTACTTCATTTGTGGCTTACTAATGAAGCCTAATTATCTCTGCATTGGTTCCTATTTTACATCAGATTAGAATAAAACTTAGAATGGTTTTCTATTAATACAGATTTTTTTTCTTTGGTAAATTGGAGTCTAAGATGTTGAAAATGTAGTATTTTAAAATCCACTCTAAGGCTGCAATTCTGTGGTCCATCATGGAATCAGTATGAGGAGGAGGATGTTATTAAAATCAAATTAGAACTCATCCTTTCAAAGGAATGATAAGAAAGGGGATTCAGTTGTTGCTGCTGAGTTGCAGACTGCATCCCATCCTCCTCAGATGTCTTTCTGCAGCACAGCTGGGTCTGGAAGAGGCTCTTAGTGCCTCAGCTCCAGTATTTCTGTCTCTACAATAGCAGTAGGTTTATCTAGAAGTACAGTGGTGTTTTTTCTGTCTGTAAGAACCTCAAAAGTTATGTGATTTATATGTTGCAGATCACATTTTCTTTAAGTCTTATCTCTTTATTCCACGGTGAATTTGGATGTCTCGGTGGTATATTTTAAAACAATGCAAACTTCTCCCCTTACATGAAAATCTTCATTTTCTTTGAACAGATAAACAACCAGATACTGTATGGAAGAAGTCATCAGAATGCTTCTGCAATCATTAAGACTGCCCCATCAAAGGTCAAGCTAGTTTTCATACGGTAAGAACAGTTCTCCTCAAACCATTTGTTTGCGCTTTAGCCTGTTACACTACACATTTACTTATTTAAGCTGTTTTGAAAATGCTAAACTTGCTCAGTTCTCTTTGAAGTGAAATAAATCTTTTCCTTCACTACTTTTCTCAGGAAGGTTGAAGAGTTCTCTTTAATAATGTTAAAAAAAAAAAAAAAAAGAAT